CCATTTGAAATTCAACCTAAGGATAAGTCATATCCTTAAGAGTTTTAAATAATTTTTTTGTTACTATAACTGGTGTATGTAACCTATACTATGTTCGTTCTGCCGTAGTTAGCTAAAGAAAACTTCGAAATAGAGTTAAACTAGTAAGCTAGTCATTCACTAATTTAAATTTGTATTTTGCCTTGTTTCATTCACCGCTAGACCAACGTTTTTTGTTCCTTATCTAAACTGAAAAATACTACGCTAAATGCGGGTTCATCATTCTAGTTCAGATCTTTTCTTCCATTTGATTGCTGTTGTGTTTCTCTCCCAATTCGGAGTGGGAGAGCAACTGAGAAAAGTTCTTAGCTCCTTTGAGTTGTTAACTGAACTTGAACTTTTTTTTTATTAAACATCTATGTATATAATAGCCCAAAAGATGGCAAGAACCACAAACTGGTCCCTACCACGCCAGGTTGTACAAAATATTGATTGTAGAACAAAAAAAGATATTCATCCATAAGTATCATCCAGTTAATTGATGAGGTGAGAGCACGAGTGTTACAAATACATAAAAGTTACAAACAATAACACAAAAGCAATTAACTAAAAATTGACAGTTAAACATTAGAGCTATTCGGAAACGCAGCAAACCAAAGCATCAGTCGCTTTTATTTCTAAACTACAAACCCTATCCCCAATAGGAAAAAGTCTTACCCTTAACCAAACACAAATCATTAAAACTCCTGCTCCAGTCGTTCCAATTTAAATTATGTATCCTTCTTAAAGCCTTTTTAGGAGTGAGGTCTACCCTTAACTCCATTCCTCTATCCACTGCAGCTTTAGCAGCTAAATCAGCTTTTTCATTAACATTAGGAATGTTGATATTTTATCGATATATCGATATGGACGATATTTTTTGTTTCCGATACGATATTATCGGCGCGATATTCTTTTGGGCGATAATATCAGATATCGATATTTTATGCAGAAATATCAATACTGGTGAAAACGGCAAGCTGTTGTCTATTGTACAAGTAAGCAAATGAGGTAAAACGAGCTTGGCTTCCGCGGTAGCCGAGTGGCTGCGAACTACAAGTCCGTAGGGCTCAGGCTCGATTCTTGGTTCGAGCGAATGCAAAATTTTTTTTATTTATATTATTATTTTTAATTTTATTATTATTTTTTGATTTATATGATTTATTTTACTTAGTTCTTTTTTTTGTTTTATTTCATTCCACATTATTTATTTTTTTATTATTTATAAAATTTTTTAGAGTTTAATTTTAATAAAAAAGTCCACAACAAGAAAAAACAAAAGTAATAACTGAATGAATAAATAAAAAAATTTAATGAAAATTCTACTAACAACGGGACTCAAACCCACAACCTTGCGGCTCGTTAATCCGCATTACTGCCGTCTGTCAAAGTAAAGTTTTGATCAAATCAACTGTGCGTTAAGCCGGATTAACGTCGCCGTCTGTCTATATTTTAAACTACTGGTTTTCAATTGCTTTACAAAAGTTGCCAGAATTGGCCTATTAATTTGTTAAGTACAATTAACTACTGATTTTTATTTATACGATACTTTGGAAATTACCGTTAATTTATTCGAAAAAATTATAAATCTTTCTTTCTCTTTCAGATGCCTCGGCCATTGTACCAAAAAACGAGCGCTCAGTAGATAAGCTATTTTTCTACGTACATATTGTATGTAGTATGTAAATATTTATTAAGCGAATATCCGAATATCGATCTTATTTTCAGCTAACGTACTTACGTTCTTATACATACACTTAAACAGGAATAAATTTGTATGCACCCAGCAAAAATGCGACTTATACGGGATTAGTCCGGGAGCAAACCCAAAGGAAGATGCGACTAATGCCACTTTTGATTATTTATATGGAATGAAGAGTTCCGTTTTGTTCGGGCATGTTCTATGAAGAGATTTATTGTTACCCTTTATACCGAAGCGGGTTTGAAAAGTGACTACTTAGTCGCTTTTAAAAAATAACTAATACAAATTTGCGCTAGCTGCGATGCGAACCGGGAATTCTAGGTTTGCTAAAAGCTCAGTTAGTCTAGACTTAACTTAATTTAACTTACCGTAAGAAATTATCAATGATTACTCAACACGTCCACTTAAGCCAGAAGCGAAAATATTTTGTTTTTTTTATTTTCTTTTTCAGCTGTTTAACAGTTGGCGTTTATTTATTTAAAAAAAATACACAAAACGAGAGTCTGGCAAGCCTGATTCTCTGACCGCTCTCAATTTCCGTAAGGCCGTAACTTAAGAACCTAAAATCTACAGGTTCTTAAGTTTCTTACGATAAATTAAGTTTTAACTAACCGCCAACACAGCTTCTCATACAAAAGGTCAACAAAAAAAAACTTTTTTTGCAAACAATTTTTCCAATTTAGTTTGGCTGTTATTCCTTCTTGGCATAGATCCAATATATTTATAGAGACTTTAACGTTGGTGGCATGAAGTTTTTGCCTGAGAAGACCCCTAGTAAAATTTTCCAAATAATTATTTTCTGGAATATGTCAATCCTCTAAGGAACTTCCAAATTTGCTTTTTGTGGGGTTTCTTGAAGTAAGGGTCAAAACGACCCTTTCAAACGGGAGCTAATGAATTAATATGTTCTACGAAAATATTTCCCATGAAAATTTACTATATATTTCTTAACTTTTAATTTCACTCTAAATTAACCATTTTTTCCACTTTTTTGAAAACAAATTAGGCCGGAACATGAAAACTTTAGTAGGCCATAAAATAAAAATACGAGCTAACTTTTGCAAATAAATCGACTGTTTTACTATTGGATGGGTATACTTTTAGAAAATGTTAACAAAGTCCGGTCTGGTTTCGGCTGTCGCACAGTGTTACCAATAATACCCGTATGAGACTACATAGTTACGCCTTATTAACACCAAATTGTACCCCTTTGAGACTAATGCTGGAATAATCTCCTTAGGGCCAAATTCTCAATGTGTGGTTAACCCTAACTGCAGGTTAAACATCGCTATGGACGTGTTAGACTCCATAACATATAACATCGAGTCGATAACGTCGAAAACCATGTTTAAGCTCTAGTTAGTGTTAACCAGATATTGAGAAACTGACCCTTAGAGATTAGGCGAATAATTTTTGCAGGTTATATACGATAAGTACAATTATATGTTCATATTTTCACTGTACTACATGTTGTTGAATTTCTTGATTTGCTGTATCTTTTTTCGAAAACTTAGTTTTATTCAATAATTTGTAACTGAATTAATTTATATGT